GGATGTCTGGGGCAGGGAGGCCATGCTCAGTGGGCAGGGAGCCATCTAGACAGGAGCAACTGCGCCTCTGAGGGGAGGGCCTCGGTCACTGGTTATAGGCAGATTTACTAAGAAATAGAGGGAAACACTAAAGCCGATCTGAGGCAAGTAAAGATCGTTTCCTGTGATCTCAAGCAGCAGCCATAGTTTACAGATTCTTAATACAGACAGGTCGTGTGGTCACGTGAGAAGAGATGGGGCTGGGAGTCAAAACACTTGGGTGTGGCCACGACACTGTGCACTGTTTATAATATTCAGCTCTAAGACCTGAACATTAAATTCTTCATCTGGACAATAAGGAAAATAATGCCTTACAAGGTTATAATAGGAAAGTTTGGGGAACTACAGTGATCAGTGTACACGTAGTAATGACAGCACTTTGGGGGACACATGTTGCTCTGGGGGACATCTCACGTCCTGTCTCCTTTTTTGTAACATTGCCACAGTTTACTTTGGGAAATCAATTCTCTTCCCTATCTTGAGAGACTAGCCATCAAGAGCTCCTGGTCTCCCAAGGCTAAGCAATGGGTACCTGTCCAAACTGGGCCAACTAGACTCTGTAGCCTGAGACTGATACTTGAGTAGGAAAATGCAAGAGCAGAAACAACACACACAACTGAATTTATTTTTTCTGGCTATGGAGCCCTAAACACATTGCCCATCAATACTTGCTGTACAGACCCTGGGGCACCTCTGGTAGGGCAGGGACTGGGCTGTGTCCATCGAAGCAGTCTTACTGTCTTCCTGGGCATATATACAAATAGCAGAAGTGACCCATGTCACTGCCACACCTGGCCTCTAAAAAGTCCTACATGGCCTATCCCACTCTCTCTTTCTGTGCAGCTGGGAGCAAAGGTCTCCAACACAGCAGAGCCAAACAGAGCAGCCCCGACCCCTATCCCACCACTTGGGAGGGAGTGACTGGGTGAGCCTCCTACCCACATCTATGACCAGATGAAGTAACCAACTTCCATGGTGTAAGTCACTGGGATTTGGGCGCTGCTTTTACAGAAGTTAACAAGTGTTACCCTAACATAATACCATCTTTTTCAGGGACTGATTTTCCAGTCTTCCTTGCAGTTTTAATTTCCTTCCAATGAATTCCTTTCTGCTCCAGTTAGCCAGTGTCTAATTCTGTTGCTTTCGACCATAGTCCCTGATGAATCTACCACTAGTAATAATGTAAATACCCAGACGATTAGGACCAATGAGATTAAAGCATGTTCTCTCTCGAGACTGTAGATGTTTATTGTACTGATACTTTATCAGTACAAATATATGCTCAGCATTGACTAACATTTAAGAGGCACAGTTTTAGTTACGGATTCTGCCTATTTTAAAAAACATGTCCTCAAGGTTCTTTATTGTAGACACTCTGCTAGGAAGTGCAGGTGAAAAGGCAGATGAGAGTTGGTCTCGCCTATGAAGACTCATGGTCAATGCTGTTGATAAGCTTCCAATGTTGTGGGGAAATCAAGAGAAGTACACGTGCAGTGGCCACGTTACCATTCCTGTGAAGTGAAACCGGAACATAGCGCCAATAGGTTCTGTCTTTGGCCCTCTTCACTTTATATAATCTTCCTGGGTGACTCACCTACTCTTTCATGGTTCTGACTATCACTCATGGCTCTCAAATCCATTCTCTCTCATCCTCACTTTTCCACCAAGTTCCAGACCCACATTTCTAACTGGGACACCACCTGGGTGCCCCACAGGCGTCTCATATTCAACACATCAAGAACCAAACCTCTAATTCATGCCTTCAACTCACCTTTCCTTACTAATTGGTCAACTGAAATTCCAACCAGTTTCCTGCTCCCTATTTTGTGATCACATCCAGGAGGAGCTAACGTTTCATTCAGCTCCTTCAAGCACCATCAACAGTGAGCATCTCCTCATTCTGGTGCGATCTCCCCTTTTAGCCCTGACTTCTTTGCAAAAGAACACAGTTTATTCTGCTTGGCTTCCCCATGGATGAGCATCACCCTGCATGTCCTTGGAACCAACCTGTAACTTTTATCTCCTCCACAAATTCCGGAAGGTCATTTTATCATTTATCAAGGTAGTTGCATCACTCACATTCATCTATGTTTCAATGCGAGAATTTTAGTACTGAAATAAAGCTCAGGAATAACTTACTCAAACACCCTTTCCTATGCGTAAAAGCCTGATGTAACTTATAAGAAAGCTTCCAGCCTCTTAAAGACATAGAAATCACTACTCCTGAGAAGACCGTCCATCTCTGATGTCTCCAGCTGTCAACAGTTTCTGCTCTACACTGAAATGGACTCCCCCTCCCCTGTAATGTCCATTCCTGGTTCTGGTTTATCCAGCTACACATAACAAGCTTCCAATCCCTCTTCTATGTGACTTCATTTCTGGAGACACTTCCCATGCTCCCTGTTCCAAGTTTTCTTCCACTGGACCAGATCCTCCAGCCACTCCTCATATAAAATCCAATGGCTGAGCCAGCGGCTCATGGAGGCTGAAACTAGCAAACTGTGGACTCAGTCACCTTCCCACTGAGATCTTCATCTCCTTGAGGCTGACCTCACAAATCAGGATGCTCTCCTGGCCTCACCTGAAAAGAACACCTAACAAACAGGCCTGCAGGATACAACAACCAAAGAATTCGAATTTTAAAAATTGTGACAATATTTTTGAAAAACTCTATAAAGGGAGTCAAGACAACAAACACTCAGAATTTTGCATTTGGAAAGTAAATATAGTCCTTCAAGGCACCCAGAACATTCTCGTAGATTTCAAACTACTTCTTTTATTTAATAATTTTCTTATTTATCCTTACCCTAGGAGGGTATTTTTCCCACTGATTTTCAGAGAGAGTGGAAGGGAGGGGCAAAGTGGGGGAGACAGAGAGAAACATTGGTGTGATGGAGACACAATGACTGGTTGCTCCCGAATGAGCCCCAACAGGGGGTGGGGGGTGGGCATCAGGCCTGCAACCTAGGTACGTGCCCTTTACCGGGTATTGAACCCAAGACCCTTCGGTGTGCAGGCCGATGCTCTAACCACTGAGCAACACCAGCCAGAGCTAACCGCTTTAAATAACTAACACAACTAGCATTGCCCTAAAAGTTTGCATGGCAAGTAGATTGGGCTTTGCATGTTTCTAATTCATGTGGAACCCGGCGGAACCGTGTGAGTCTCCTGCCCACAGCCCTAGCACGTCTCTCTCACAGGCATCCTGCTCTTGCTGGGATGGGCTGGTTGGCGGCCTCCCCGGTTTTCCTTTCCCATTCACTTTAAGTAACACTGATTTCTCCTCTCCATCTTTTCGCCCATCACTGGGGACCTTCTCCACCTGAGCCTTCCTTCTCTGCCTTTTTTGTCCTGAGGATAGCATCTTTGCCCAAGTTACTCTGTATGTTTGATCCAGAGGAGTGCCCTTCAGACATACAGCACATCCTCAAAAGACAAGGTCACTGACTCTTCCTTTCCCCACATTTGCAGAACTGGGGCCAAATTATTTAATGTGGTTTTCACCTGGCCTCCTCTCCCCCACAGGCAATTACTTCCCCACCGATGACTGCACTGGCCAAATAACTGAGTCCACAATCAGCTAATTGCAGGCTCAATGAGCCGCTTGTTTCTAACCTGGCCATTAGTGATGTGTGATCAGGCAGAAATTTCTTTTTTATCCCTTCTGAGTTAGAGACACAGCAGATCCCATATCTGAGTTCCCTGGATTCTTTTACAACAGTGACAGAAGCTGTTTACCCCTTTATTTCCTTTTCAGTATCTGCCACAGTCCCCATTTCTTTCCAGATCACAGCAGGTGTGGCCATACGATACACTAGACCCAACGTACATGACTCTGAATTAAGTCAACCTTCTAATAAGGGTTGATTATTCATAATTAAAGAGTTAATTATTAACAAATAATTATTACCTTAATCCACTGTGTAAGTTATAAAACTGAAGCAGCAGAAACACTGATTTGCCAAAATCACTGTCACGGGAGAGTAAAACGAAAAGCCCTAAGTAGCCAAGTCCACTTTTCGCCTGGGCACTGAGTTTCTCTCAGAGGATAAAAGTTAACCTTCAACCTCATTTGTCTTTAAACCTTAAATATCCCCCCAAACTGTTATCACGTGGTTTCTTGAAAGCTACAAAAACTAATTTCTTTTAAAAAGTGGTTTCAAGTATTTACTGTTTCTCCTACAATTCATGTAGTTTCTCTTTTTCATTCTTATCTTTTATTCTATTTTCCTTGTTCAGCCAACATTTATACAGCACAAAATACGTGCTCAATTTTCATAGGAGGAGGTTAGCTCCCACTGACACCACTCTAATCCATGAAAGAGGGGCAGTAACCTAAGGTAATGCCCCTTACGGAGAAATTACTATTAATAAGGGTTCGATATATTTGCTTTGAGAATAACTCAGACACTTCCAGGTTTCAAGAAGTTTGCCTTTAATTAAACACTGCGTATTCCCTGGAAGCCTTTTCCACTGGCACCGTTTATCATTAAACTCTCCAGTTCGCAGCCATCGTTCCCGTAATTATCTTAAGTGGAGATAACAAATGGGGCAGAGATTCCTGATGTCTCAGGAGGTCCTGACTCACCAGGATTTTCTAGCTCCCCTTGGTCTCTACGCCGCTTCAGAGGCCTCTGGCATTTTCTTCACAATTAGCTTAGCGTAGAAAAAGATAAGCAAAGCTTAGAGCCGAGAGAGATCAGGGTTAGTGGTGCAAATGGAAGGATAACAACCACCTAAGAAAGCAGAAGAAACATTCAGGGCCTTGTAAGTGGAGGGCCACAGCTTTCAGGAAATAAGACAGGAGAAATACAGCCACGCTCTTCAGGAGCATTTTTCTAAAACCGGCCTGTCAGTGCCCGGAAGGCAGACTGTGCAACCTGCTGACACTCGCGGGGGCGAGAAACGAGAAGGGCAACGTCGCAAGCCGTCTGAGAACGGTGCTGACGGTCTCCACTTACCCAACACCAGCAGCTCCACCGAGTCCTCATTTTTGCCCTCCAGGTCATCGGGGGTGGTGATAATACAGTAATAGAGTCCGCTGTCTCCCCACATGAGTTTTCCAATTTGGAGATCTGCATCTGTTATCACAAAAAGAACCCAGTCCTAAACTGGCCTCTGAAAGAACAGTGAACACTGCGGGGTGGGAGGGGGCCTTGGGTGTGTCCGCAGTCTGGGTTTACCAGGTGGTTGACAAGATGTTTCCCTTACCCAAAACAAACCTACAAAACACAAAATTTAGCATCCCTGAAGTGAGAGACTTAAGAGCCCCAGCAGAATCAGTGTTGTTCCAGGCCCAGTCCAGGAACAGAAGGCCACTGGCAACCATGCAGGCTGGCAGGGACCTGGAGAGCCAGGTACATTCTAGAATTGCCTGGACTCCTGCAAGGGAGCTGGCTTCACAGCAGTTCTTCAAATTTCAAATAATCCAATAGGTCATATTAAGATTCTTAGGACTTTTTCTTGCCCAAAGCTTTAGGGAGCAGGAGAAAGGGTGGAATCGAGACAAAACCACCTGGGGTGGGGGCCATGGCACCACCTGGCTCAGGAACCCACCTGTGCACACCTCTTCTCCCTGGGAGGAGTCTGCTTTCTGAGTTTGGGAAGGGGTCCAACCTGCTGTCAGGTGTAAGGTATCTGACCAAGGAGGTCCTTTCACCAGAACCTACTTCATTTCAGTTCTGACAACAAGCCCCTCAGACTGGAGGTCAGGCTCAGGAAAGGCAGTTTCCCAAGCCCAGTGCTGCCTTCTGTAGACACTACACCTACACCCTTTCTCCCCACTCCATCCCATTAAAGCAGTTCCCTAGGCTTCCTGATGCTCCCACGTCCCATAAAATCAGTCTTGAGGGGACGAAATCCCCCTGTGTCTGGGAAGAATGGAACTAAGGTCCCTCCCACTGCCTGGCCTCAAAGCAAAGGCACCATTACCATGGACGATCGTGACCTCTCTTCCCCTGTAGAAATCTCCCAGGGTGACAGTCGAGCCCTGTTTGGAAGCGACCACTCGGACAGTCCTCCTGCTGTCCAGGCAGTCCAAGTAGGGGTCCCATTCCAGGTTTCTCTTGCTGAGAGGCTGGGCCCGGGGCGAGGACATGCCCAAGGACTCCCCCATGCGATCCTGGCAGTAGGACTTGAACTTCCACTGCACGACAGCGGGCTGGCGGGAGGACGTGGAGAAGTGGCAGCGGAGCAGCGTGGGCTGGAAGAGCATGGCCACCTTCTTCTTGTCGGGCACTGTGACCTGGAGACCATGCGCCAGGCCTGCAACACAGAAGGAGCGTGTCCAAACGGCACCCGTATCCTGGACGTCCGCACGCCACGTGGTCACGCCTTCCTGCCTCAGCTCGCTCACCTGTCCCTCCCGCTTTCTCCATCCCACTAACGGCTGCCTTGTCCAGAAACCTGCCATCGCTCCCAATATCCAACCAGTCACTAAGTCAAGTCAGTGCGATCTCTTAACATCGTTACTGTGTGTTCCCTCCCTAACTCACTTCTTAAATGCCCTTCTCAGGGTTTTTTTGTTGTTTTTTTTAAAAAACAATATCTTTATTGATTTCAGAGAAAGGAAGGGAGAGGGGGAGAGAGAAAGAAACATCAATGATGAGAGAGTCATTGATCGGCTGCTTCCTGCACGTCCCCTGCTGGGGATTGAGCCTGCAACCCGGGCATGTGCCCTGACCGGGAATCGAACCTCGATCTCCTGGATCCTAGGTCGATGCTCAACCGCTGGGCCACGCTGGCCGGGAACCCTCCTCACTTCTTGCAAGACTATTGCAATAGTCTTGTCTGGTCCAGTGCCTACAGCTGCTCACAGGCAGGACCTTCTCTTTAGTTCAGGTGATCTTTCTAAATCTAACTATTACAGTTCTCTGTAAAGCCCTTCCCTCCTCCTCCATGGCCTTCAAAGTCCTTGGCAAGGCATTTAAGGATCTCCATCATCTAGTCCCTCTCACCTTCTCAGCCTCACTTCCCACAACATATCTGAGCTCCAATCCCGGGAATACCTGTTCCCCAGGTGCGATTTCACACCTGCAGCGCCTGGCATGTGCTGCTCCTGGTTTCTGGAATGCTTCTGCCTCACTCCTTTCTCTGGGAAACTTCCTTCCACTTTTCAAAACCCAGTTCAAAGGCTTGTGGAAAAGCGGCCTCTGACCAGTCATTCGGCGCATTGGCCACTTCCTCCCGGTACCCATCAGACATGTCGGGCAAGGGATGCGTCTCACCCTGCTGTCCGGGCCTGTGAAGCCCACAGGGCTCAACACATATTTGATAAATAAGGACAGTGAAGTCAGGAAGTGTGACTTCGGGAGGAAGTGACTTCCCTTCCAGCCGGTGACCAAGCAAGGGGGACAGAGATGAAGGGAAATGGAGGCTTTGAGAGAAATGGAGAATCTCAGATCAGAAGCAGGAGACTAAGTATAAAAGCTCCGAGGGATAACCCAAAGCGGGGAGGGGGGAGAAAGCAGGTGAGAAGTTTAAGGGGAAAAGATGCAGCCTGAGGTTTCGTGGGTGTCCAAGGAGGGAAATTTCAGTGAGTGAAAGACCAGGGGAGCATTTGAGAGGCAGGGACTTCTATGAACTACATGGAAAGATCTAGAAATTCCAAGCAAAGAGGACCCCACTTCCTCAGGGGAATGGTAGGAAAATTAAGAGTTTCTAGCTGAGCAGATACAGAATTATGATGAGAAGCAGAAAAGAGGAAAATGGATAGAAAGAGGGTCAGAAATAAAGCCAGGAGCCTGCCACTCAGCTTCAGGTCACGCGGGGCAGTTTCACCCGAGAATTACAGGTGGGCCTGAGCCACGTGGGAAAGGCCTAGTTTCACGCACAGGAGCCTCCTGTCCCTTCTCGCTGCCACTGCCACAGCTCCACCGCACCCTGCTGAGCGACGTCTTCATAGGAGCCCCTCTGCCAAGGGAAGACGCGCATCCGGACCCGCGTCTCTGACTCCCAGGCCAGGGCCTGTCCTGAGCGAGAGCACGGGGAGAACCCGGGTTCCAGTTCTGGGAGGACACGGGCACCTGCTCTCCAAGGAACTGGGAACGAACCCAACAGTACTTGAGACTCAGGAAATCTTAAAGCGCCCTCCACCTACCAAGCGCTCAGCAGCCACCTATGGGCTGGATCAGCAAGTGAGTGACTTCATGTGGGAATGTCGGGCCTCTGCAGGGGAAACCGGCTGAATGGGTCGTGAATGGCGTGGGAGAGCAAAACGGCCCCTCACGCAACCCCCACCGGTAAAGCGAGCCTCATAATTCTTACTCACTGGGTCGCCTCACAGGTCCCCTGTGGCCAGCGGGCTCCAGAGCAGAGCCCTGTGACTACAACCCATTCAGGTGCAAACAGTTCCCATCCCGAAGCTCACGGGAGAGCCCCGCTCCCTCCCGCGGCTGCCCTGCCCCGTGTGGACGCGGCTAACGCCACCCTCCCTGACTCACAGCTGGACTAGGAAAAGAAATTCTTCCCAGTTCCTCCTCCAATTCACACTGCATGTGATTCTTCTTCCAACCCTAGTCACCTCCCAATTTTCCAGGTAACAAGAATGGGACAGAGAGGTGAAGTGACTTCAGTTAGCAGTGGCTAAGGCTGAGTGACCAATGACAGGCACGGTTCCCAGCACAGTGCCGTGTACTCGACCTCACCGCCTGGCTTCCGCTACCTGTTCAGGCGAACCTGGGCAATCACACGTCCCAGCCTTTCTCCGATATAAAACTAGCAAAGGAGGCAGGTGCAGCCTCGGCGCGTCAGGGCTGCTTTTTCAGAGTTAAGTATGGCATTTTGCTCATCACATGATGACTAAGAATAACCTCCTTCCCAGCTCGGTTCTCTGGATGAGAGGTCAGCCACTTGACCAAGCCATTGGACTCCTTCAATTATTAATAGAGGTTACTCAGCTTCTTCCATGTCATGGACATAAACTGCTCCAGAGGAGAGAATCCGTTCTCAGAATCATCTGCCTCAGGACAGTGTGATAACTGAAGGCCTGGACTGTAGAGTCCGTCCTAAACTAGAATCCGAGCTCTACCCATTCCCAGCTTCACGACCTAAGGCGAATTACTCACCTCTGATGAGTTTCCATTTGCTCACTGATAGAAGCAGAATAATAGTAACTACCCCGTGGAGTTTCTGAGGCTGAAATGAGATTTTATCCTGAGTACTTAGGATTATGTGGTATACAGTAAGCACTCAATACATGCTGTGCTGCTTGCTGTCAAGGTCAGTCTTGACTTCTGGGCAGCCCTGCAACTAGAACTGGGTGAGCACCGGTATCAGGGTGAGACACTGAGCTTCGACAGGCGGGATGGCCAGCACTGAAGGAATGTAGACTAGGAGGCCAGGAGCTCAGCAGCAACACTGCCTGTGGGTGCCCAGCGCCGCACAGCCACACATGCACCCCTGGGAGTCAGAAACGGAGGGGGACCCTGCATGTGTGCACACAGGCACAGGGGCAGGTGTGGGTCTAGTGTGTGCCTTGGGACTCTAAGCTAAGGATGGATCTGGACAGCTGGAGAGGATGGGACTAGGAACTCCAAGGAAACACCAGCTTATTGGATCTTTGAGGGATGGACGTGAAGAGTTAGAGCGAACTGAAAATGCCAGCCCCTGCTTTTGCTCTGTGAGCTTCAAACTGTAGGATGAGTGCCACCAACCCCCACGCCTGCCTGGCCAGGTCTACTAGGAACCCCCTTCCCACTGGAGGGTGGGCCTAACCTGGATCCCAGGTAAGCCTTGGGTTCCCTCCACCCTCAGAGCAGCATCTCTTTCCTGTGTTTATCTTTTACTTGGCCTGTTTCCACCCAATCGGTCATCCACTTGCCCACTGGGACCAAAACCTTGCTCTGAGCTCCAGCCAGCTCGCCTGTCCTGAGGCTTGGGGATTGCTCCCTCTACCCTTCATGCGTGACTGACCCAAATCTGAACCTGTGATACCGTTGCCCACCCAACTCCGAAAAACCCCTCTCAGGGGACCCTACTCCTACCCCCAGACCAGTGCCCTCGGAGACAGGTGCTCAGGGGGTGAGGACTGAGACTGACAGCCCAAGGACAAGGCGATCTGGCCTGTGGCCAGCTTAGGCCTGAGCTTGGCCCTACCTCTTACACGTTCTTTGATTTTCTATTTCACCACTTGTCAGATGCCAACAGCCTGGTACTAGTTATGCTGGAGTGTCTACGGGCTAAGCAGCCCATCTCTGAACACCAGGTAAATCACTGAAGCCTCTTCATAGCATTTAGTCACCTGGGCACGCACGCTAAAAGCACTCTCCATGGTTCCGACTACCAGCTGTGTCCCAGGCCCTCAGCTCCCTTAAGCCTCATCTGCATGTTTAACAGATACCCCAAGTTAAACGTGTCTGAACCTCACTTATCTCCTCTCTTGCAGCCTCTTGCTGGTTCTTCCGCAGTCCCAGCTCTCTGCCCGTCCACCCCCAACCTGCTGCCTCCGAGAAAAAGCATAACTTCGGTCATTTCCTCTCTGGCCCTGACCACACTCGGCTGGTCACTAAGTCTGAACTCTCAGATTCGACCCTTCTGTATTCCTGCTGTCAGTCCCTTAAATCAGACCTCTATCCCTGCTACGAGGTAACCATTAAAAAACGCTTCCTATGTGTCAGAAACTGTGTTAAGTACTATCTGTGCAGTATCGTAGTAAATTCTCTCAAAAATCCTATAAAGCAGGTATTACTATTATTATACCTATTTTATAGATGAAGAAACTGATTTTTAGAGAATGTAGGTATCGTCCCAGCATCTCAGCATTAGCCACTGGCAGGGGGCTGTGAACCCAGGCTGACTAGCTCCGAAGCTCCTAAGCATCACCTTCCACAAGAACTCACTACAGCCTTGGCTTTACAGCAGCCTCTTCTGTGCCACCCCGCATCCAACCTAATACACTCTCCATATTCCTTCTATCAAGAGCATTTTTAAAGACATCTCTAGTTATCTGTTCCCTGCTTTAAGGTTTCCGTTCATTCCCCATTCCTTCAGGATAAAACCCAAATGCCTGGACATGGCACATAAGGTCTTCACCATCTGGCTCCAAGCACGCACAAGACATATGAAAATGTTTCTCACTCTTTAACTATAAATACGTTATTCCCTCCACCTGGGGAAACATTGGGTGTGTAACTGAAGGAGTTCCTGGGAGCAGATGGAGAGAAGCGTGGAGCGTGGGTCGTGCGAGCACACGAGCACGTGTGGGCACGTGTGAAGGCTCTGAGTCCAGGCACCGTGACCCTGTAAGGGACTCTGCGCTGAAGTCT